TTCTGATAGGAGAAATTCCAATATAATGAAAATTTGGGGATGGGCTTGGGTAGTAGACACCATGCTGGTGCCTCATTTGGATAAGGAATGCTACTACCAGATTGAAACTGATAATGCTAGTAACATTAGCTACCATAGTACAGTAGCATTTCTGTTTGCTCCAGAATTTTTGTAGTAGTTTCTATGTCCAAATTGGTAGAAGCATGATATCTTTCCTTCTTCTACCACCAGAGAAAAATCCAATACTAGTACAAGTACAATAGTAACACCAAAATGCATAGTTTGAAAAAAAATTAACAAGGACTCAGGACTCCTCCTCTTGCTCCTATGCTCAATCTTGTAATTCACCAAAATAAATAATTCAAAATTTGTACAGGGACTCAGTGCTCCTGTGCTTGCTTCTGTGCTCAGCATTTTAATTCACAAAAATAAATAGTTCAAAGATACAGTAGCTCCTCCACCCTGTACATTGGTGTGTACTACTGTGCTTTGCTCAGAAAATAAGTTAACACTTAACGAACAATTTATGTTGCAAGCAAAATATGCATGTATGATCTTCTGTATCAGCAGAATAAATAGAAAAAATAATATTTAAAAAACAGTACAGGGACTCAACAAAGCTTCTGCGTGTTTCAGCAGCTCCTCTGTAGTGTGTATTTGGTTGTACTGAGCACTGTGCTTGGAAAATCAGTTGACCATTTGCAAATCCTTTATTTTGCAAGCAAAAGACATGTCTTCTACAAGTACTACTATCTTCTAAAATGTACTATGTAGGATACTGATGCACGGAATTTTGTGGATAAAAGGATGCTTGCTAATATGATACAGAGGAATACAAAATATACCCTCACAACAAAGTAGTACTCCAATTTTTGTATTCTAGTAGTTTAGCCAAACTACTTTGATTATTGTTGCAAAAACTGGGTTGTACCAGAATACAGTAATCCTGTGAACAGGTTTGTACTTCAGTGAGGTGTGAGATATTAGACAAAAAATAACTTGTGTCAATTCCCTAGGAAGAGTCTTTGATTTTGTCTGAACAGTTCTTGTCAAATTGGTTGGAAGATTCATCAATTTTGTTGGAAACTTTTCTTGTTCAGTCTAACGAACAGTTTTGTCAAAAAAGTCTTGGATTTCACTGAAACAGTCTTGGATTTGGTTCAAAATGTATTGGATCTCATTCTTGACCCCTCTTCCATTTTGTCATAAAGGTCTTCAGTATTTCATTGGAAGAGGAGCTATTGTTACTGCCATAGGTGCTGCCTACCCTCCGTCCCTGTTGGGGGCTTGTGCAATTTTCTTGTCAGAAGAGTCTTTAGATTCTGTGTTCCTTCTGTTGGGGAGTTCATTGAGACTGAGCATTAAGACAAAGGAAAGAAGCACCAACAGCACCACAGTGGCAATTGCCAGGGGTCTCAAGGTAGTTTTATAGAGGAGTTGTTGGAGATGTCCAGTTCTCTGAGTCAGAAATAGGGATTGCATGGATGCTGAGGGATTGCTTGATTTTATGATTTGATTGATACTGTAAGGTTTTGAGGCAAATTTTGAGATGATTGCTTTTGAGAAAAAAATTACCACAACATGCTGAAATGATGAGGACAATCAAAATTTGAAGAGAAAATATGGTTGTGATCATAGGATGAGTGCTGATGCAGCTGTTGTGTCCTCTCAAAGAAATTGCTCATCTGGGAATTGCAAAATCTTTTTTGTCTTCACTGAGACTGTTTTGAAGTGGGATTCATATGTAGAAATGATTACAGAACAATACTTGTTAAATCAATAAAATTTACTGTTAGCAGACAAGGAGGACGCCCTTTTTGGAATTAAGACTGATGATTATTGCTATACTACACTCCTCATACACTACCAAAATATCATTATGATTCAGCTTTTCATTATTGTTTTATATGTCTGTTCTCAATCCTTGCACATTAGTCTCCAACTTATGCTTTGATTGATGGGGGGTCTACATTGAATTGTGGATGCATGCAATTAGTAGGTTCTTGTACGAGTACTTCTTGTATCTGGTACAATATACAGCACAGGAGCCAGGAGCCAGCAAAATGTGCACAAACCCTGGTGCAATTTTTGAACTATTTTATCAACACACAAGAGTGCTGATACAGAGCAAGGAGGAGTTGCAGCTACAAACAGCAAGCACAATGTGCACAACCCCCCATCATTTTATTTTTGAACTCTTCAATTCAGACACAAGGTGCTGATANAAGGAGGAGTTGCAGCTACAAACAGCAAGCACAATGTGCACAACCCCCCATCATTTTATTTTTGAACTCTTCAATTCAGACACAAGGTGCTGATAGTACAAGCAAGCATATGAGCCACGGTAAATGCCAAGCACAAGAGCCAGCAGTGAAAAGCACACAAATCCCTAGTATACTATTTTCAATCTATTCATTTTGGTGAATTAAAAGACTGAGCACAAGAGCAAGCAAGCACAAATAATTTCTTGGATTGTTAACTTCACATGCCATGCTCTTTTCGCCAGCAGATTCAAACTCTGCCAGCTGCTCCTTACCAGGAGATCCACTCAGCTACCAGCCTGGACCCAAAGCTGGTGGTCCTGGAGGAATTGTCCCACAAGGGGCTTGTAATATGGATGTGCACAAAGGGTACTACCCAAAGTGCTTCAGGAACAGGCCAGCCATGATAGACCTGTCAAAGTGTTTCCCATAGTTCTTTATCGTCTTGGTAATCTTGGACTTGACAAGGGGCATCCTCCAGGAAGCCCCCTCCTCTTTGGTGGCCTTGGAGACCAGATGCATCGTGGCAGCCAGGTTGTTGTTTTCTGTACTAAAGATGCTGCACCAGACCACCTGGAAGAAAACAACGTCATGTATGATGTACCATACTGAATGCACGAGATTACGTGTACTTTTAGTATGTTAAGTGTGTATGAAAATTAAAATTATGATTAGAATTGTTCGGAGATTACCAAGCGCGTTTACGAGAATTCCGAAGTTCTGATCAGAAGCTCATGTAGACCTGGTAGGGAATCTACATGAAGGTTCTTCCCTTCCGGACTCGTGACGTCTATGTTCTTCGTGAGGTATTCTCGAATAATATCTTAGACCTCTTACGATCCTCGGACCTCTTCGATGCATCCTATGATGCATACATAGGAAGCGTACCTTACGATAGGTACGTAGGAATGGTATGATACTTCATTCCTTTCTTCGGAGCTTCGTATCATATACTTCCTTTCAATACGTACGTATCCTATCCAGTACGTACGTATCCATTGCACTGAAGAGCAGTCAATGATGTAGGAAGACATTACTAGTACTACAACATCACCATAATTCTTATCAGTACCATCTTATCATGAATACTCCTAGTACTCCTCCTCCTCCTACTACTACTACTAGTACAGCAACCACCAGATTGTCACCACTATAAATGCTACCAAAATACTATATGCCAGCATGCTAGTACCACCAGTTGATTTTTTTAAGCGAAACTCTCCCACCAGCCCCCTTACTAGTACTACTAGTAGTACTACTAGTAGTAACAATAAAGACCAAGCTCCAACAGCTTGTTACTAGTAGTAGGCAACTACTAGTAGTACTAAGAGCTTTTCCTGGTACCAGCAGGAACAACTGCAATTCTGTTGGTGTCAACGTTCTTCTAATTTTCCTGAGGGTTCGCCTGGATGATNAAGGAGGAGTTGCAGCTACAAACAGCAAGCACAATGTGCACAACCCCCCATCATTTTATTTTTGAACTCTTCAATTCAGACACAAGGTGCTGATACAAGCAAGCATATGAGCCATGGTAAATGCCAAGCACAAGAGCCAGCAGTGCAAAGCACACAAATCCCTAGTATACTATTTTCAATCTATTCATTTTGGTGAATTAAAAGACTTAGCACAAGAGCAAGCAAGCACAAATAATTTCTTGGATTGTTTACTTCACATTCCAAGCTCTTTTGGCCAGCAGATTCAAACTCTGCCAGCTGCTCCTTACCAGGAGATCCACTCAGCTACCACCAGCCTGGACCCAAAGCTGGTGGTCCTGGAGGAATTGTCCCAGCACAAGGGGCTTGTAATATGGATGTGCACAAAGGGTACCCAAAGTGCTTCAGGAACAGGCCGGCCATGATGGACCTGTCAAAGTGTTTCCCATAGTTGTTTATCGTCTTGGTAATCTTGGACTTGACAAGGGGCAACCTCCAGGAAGCCTCCTCTTTGGTGGCCTTGGAGACCAGATGCATCTTCTTGGCAGCCAGGTTGTTGTTTTCTGTACTAAAGATGCTGCAGACCACCTGGAAGAAAACAACATTATGTATGATGTACCATACTGAAGAGCAGTCAATGATGCAGGAAGACATTAGTACTACAACATCACCATAATTCTTATCAGTACCACCATCTTATCATGAATACTCCTAGTAGTAGTAGTACTACTACTACTAGTAGTACAGCAACCACCAGATTGTCACCACTATAAATGCTACCAAAATATATGCCAGCATGCTACTAGTACCACCAGTTGATTTTTTTAAGCGAAACTCTCCCACCAGCCCCCTTACTAGTACTACTAGTAACAACAAGTACTACTACTAGTAGTACTAGTATGAGTTAATAGTACTACTACTACTAGTACTAGCTACTAGTACATCATGTCCCAGCACTAGTACTAGGAGAACTAAGTGTTCCTTGGTGCCATAGTAACAAAGCAATGTGAGGAGGAAAGACCAAGCTCCAACAGCTTGTTACTAGTAGTAGGCAACCACTAGTACTAAGAGCTTTTCCTGGTACCAGCAGGAACAACTGCAATTCTGTTGGTGTCAACGTTCTTCTAATTTTCCTGAGGGTTCGCCTGGATGATGTCGGTCTGCATACGTGTACGTGTACGAGTGGGTTCAAGTGGTACTCGTACCGGTGGTACAGGTCTTGCAAAGATCTCGTGTCACAAATTTTCTTCAACACAAATCAAACGGTACGATATTTCCCGAACCGATACACTCGTGCCACTTATCACGACGACGACGACGACGACGACGACAACAACAAGGAAGAGGAGGAAGACAACGACACCATGAAGCTGAAGCAAACGAAAACAAGCGTAGTCTTGGCAATCGCCGTCTCTATGGTGATGGCGATGGTACCATCGGGTGCAAAAGCTTTCGTGGTTCACGCCCAGAGGACAACATCGCCTCCGGTGTACGATTCTACAACCAGCCAGGCCTTTTCTGCCGACGCTTGCRAAATCGCACCCGCTGGCTATGCACCAGTTCGTCGCTCCTTGYCTCCGACGACTGCCCTATCAACGGCGGCAACAGCGGTGCTGCCCGGTCCCCTGGCCGCAGCGGCGGTGATCCCGACCTGCCTCGGCCTCTGGAGGACGGGCTTTGCCGTCTCGTACGGATACGGCGTGGCCATGCTGGCATCCGGGGCGGTCCAGYTCGCGGCCTTCCTCGAGGGATCGTCGGGGGCGACGCTTCCCCTCAAGCTCCACGCGGCCCTCTATGTGTTCTACGGTGCCCGGCTGTGCTCGTTCCTGTTCCACCGGGCAAGGACCTCCTCGCTGGTGCAGATGAAACGCAAGGACGCMACGCTCGCGGAGCGCCTGAAGCGCATCCCGCTCCTCCTGGGGTGCTCCGGGCTGTACTATTGCATGGCGGCCGCTCCGATGAAGATCCTCGCCTCGACCAATCCGGTGGCGAGCCTCGCGAACGCGGCCGCCCTCGCGGTCGGTGGCTCMGGYTTTCTCCTCGCCGCCGTGGGAGACTGGTACAAGTCCAGGATCAAGGCGAGGGACGGCCCGGACACCCTCGTCACCACCGGTCCCTTTCGCTATCTCCGCCACCCCAACTACACCGGGGAGATGATCGGATGGACTTCGGTKTGCGTCCTGGTTCCGGCGCTGAGTCTCGGGAAGACCAGCCCTTCCTCGGTGGTTCCGCTGGCCCTCTCCGCGCTCCTGGGATGGGCGGGGATGGTCTTTGCCGTGCTGGGAGACGCGACGCTGGGATTGGAAAAGAAGCACAGGGAGAAATACGGCGGAACCCCGGAGTACGAGGCATGGGTGAAGAGCTCGTGGTCGGGCCCCATGGTTGGCAAACTCGATGRCGATGCCCCTGCCGGCAAGGAGGAATAGACCGAATCGCGAACCGTGGCAGGTGCAGCCTCGGCGGGGATGCTATGGTTGCAAGGTTCGCTGGAGGATTTCTTCCTCAATGCTGTTGACGACGACGGACGACGACGACGGACGACGACGACGGACGCTACCAAGTGCCACCGGTAGCCAATCGCGTTCGTTTACTGGTACCGGTACACTCCGTGTTTTCGCATCGGAACAGCGGCCGTTGCGGCCCTACCGGATCCATCGATGAAACAAGGCGGACGACGACGACGGACGCTACCAAGTGCCACCGGTAGCCAATCGCGTTCGTTTACTGGTACCGGTACACTCCGTGTTTTCGCATCGGAACAGCGGCCGTTGCGGCCCTACCGGATCCATCGATGAAACAAGGACGTCGATCGTGTCCGTGAAGAGAAATGCAATGGCGAAACGATCGTTGTTTGGTGGCATCAATCGAACATCGTTTTTCTACGGCTTGAAACAGCATGTCGTCCCTAGACCATAGCCTGCACCACCAGATAGGATTTTTTTCAATATTTTTAGTGGTTRTTTCAAATTTGATTCTTAATATCAATGTCATTATTACCATCAAATCATGATAGTACTACGAACGCAGCTGTGCACCGGCACCAGCACCGCAAGACAACGGAAACCCTCCAGGGCAATCGGCAGGTAGTGCTGGTTTCCTCCGTRGCAGCCGCGGCATCGGGAGTGTGTCCGCACCGCCTATATACCCTTTGTAAGGTTGGAAGCGTACGAAACCTTCTCCTTGGTGTCCTGYGCCAGGGCCTTACCGTATCCGGATCGGAACTCGGTACCGGAGCTGGCGGGATCCTTGGGTGTGTTGGGCCGGGCCCACTCGAGCTTGAGAATCAAGTGATCGTAACCGAATCCCTGGAGCTTCTCCATGGCCCTCGCGGCGTCGTCCTTGTTCACAAAAGAGACAAAGGCGAAACCGCGGGACTGCATGGTTTCCTTGTCMTTGGCGAGGTAGACACGGGAGATGCGACCAAAGGGCTTGAAGAGGTCCTGGAGATCGGCCTCGGTGGTGTTTTCCGAAATGTTGGTCACACGGATGGTGTTGAGGTCGTCCGTTCGGCGCTCCGGCTTGACGCCTCCCGCCATGGCCCCTCTCGCCGAGGGAGGGACGTACTTTCCGCCCGAGGCGGCGCCTCCTCCGGCACCGACGACGTTCCATCCACCGCCGGCGGCGYTGTCCTTCTCCTCCACGCCGTACTTGCGCTGCAACTGGCGCTCCTGCTGCTTCGACCAGAAGGCGTTCAGGTTGGTCGAGAGCTCCTTGGCGGCGTCCTCGTCCTGCAAGTCGTTGTCGGCGTTCGGGTCCTCGATGAAGATGTCGTCCTTGGAGAGAATGGTCGAACGCTGGGCGCCCTCGGCGCCGTCCTTGAGGGCGTTTCCAAACTTCTTCCACTGGCGGCGCTTCTCTACGGCCTTTGCTTCTCGGACCTTCTGGGTGGTCACCTTGACCTTGGTGATGGTCTTGAGGAGCTGGCTCGCGTTGGCCGGGTGCTGGCGGTACGAGGTGACGATCTGGATGCCCTTCGTGTCGATCCGCGACTTCTGGGTGGGCGGGATCACAAGGCCCCCGTCCGAGGTCATGGGCTGCTGGTTCTGGATTTCCTCATCGTCCGAATCGTCGTCGAGGACGTCTCCCCATCTCTGTGCCATGGTTGCTGAATTGTATCTAGTGTGTGCGAAAGAGTGTCGATTGTTGTGGGAACGCAAGGTGCACGAGGCGTTGGTAGCAAGTCCTGTGCCGTGGGAAACTGAGAGTATGTTTGGTTGTTGTGGTGTGTGTTCCGTACCGTATGGTACCGTACCGTACGGTCTTGCGTTGCCTTCTGGTCCGGGGTAGGGTGCAATGCAAATACGAGGAGTTTGTGTGGTTGTTGTTGATTTTTGAACTTGCGTACCGGTAGCAAACACTAGACCCATGGTACGAGGGCAAGTACGAGCACTCGTACGTGCCTGTGCGTGGGCACTCCTACAGGACAAAAGCTACGGCACACGACGGGTATCCCCAGAACCTCCACGTGTAACGCTACTCATCTGGATTCCTGCGACATGAAGGACAGACCAAGAAGGAACGAGCACCATCAAATAAAGGGAGTCTGTTTACAGCAAACAGTACTCCTATCAAGGCTATTACAAGAAGGAAGACTATGAAGATGTCAGTAACTGGTAAAAGGAATGGAGCAGCAAAGCGCCCCAAACCAAAGATACTCACATCCTCATTGTTTTGTAGACTGCAGCATTGGTATCAGTAGCTAAGAGACCAATCTGGAGGCACTACAGTACATCACTACGCCTTTTTTCTCTCATGAGCTGTCCCCTCGACGACCTCATCGCCGCCTCGGCTCCCCGTGACGTCCCCTCCTTTGTCCAGCCTGCCGCTGGCCCTGGGGGCGGGGCCTCTTTCTACGATGGTGAGTCTTTCACATCTCTCCCGGCAACGGGGGGGGGTTCCTATCCTTTGTATTCTATTATCGTAATCGACCGGCCGGAAGCAATTTGCAGAGGGCTTCTCAAGAACAACGAGTCGGCATGTATTAAGCCTAAAGCAAAGTGCAATGCAAACCACAGGGGCGACGGCAACCTCAATTTCTCAGGGCCTACCATAGCAGTTCTCTCAAGACATAAAGAGACCATCTTCTGCGCCCCCATACTAAATGCGACGTTCGTCGATCAGTCTCTCTTAAATGAGTGGCTTGAAACAAAGAAGACCAAACTGGACTGGAACAAGTGCTTCGACACGGTACAATATCTATTCCATGATCCAAATAAACCAATCAGGTTAGAGGATTTTGATCGACAAGTCAAGGCCCAAAACCAAGCGAAACTTGCCCTCAAAACCCCGGGGAAGCCCAAAGGGCCATTGTTCACCGCTACGGAACCGTGGGAAGAAGAAGAGATTCAGTTCCCTCCCTTCACAAAATTAGCAAAGAGTGAGGAAGGCATAACAAATGAGTCAAGTGATGATCAAATTAAACGAATTGAAGCTTACCTACTTGAAGACGGTTTAGCAAACGAAGAACGTTGGCAAGCACTTAAAGATGTACTCCGAGAGAATTCCGCTACAAGCAAGTATCATACCACCCAAATCAATGCAATAGATACTATCATAGGAGTGAGGAACCCTAGATCATTCCCAACGGAATTCGATAACCCGGATCTATGGTCAACCGTAGGATCCATAGGACAGGCTTTAATTGAGTTGACAAGCAATGAAGAAGGATTGGCGAGCCGGATAAGTAGACAATGTCGACAGGATCTTGACGGTCGTTTCACCGGCACAGATAAGTTCAACAAATTTGTTAATCATTTAACCTCGTGGTTTTCATCATATCACGATGATAAGGCAACGATATGGGCAAAGCTAAGCACTCTCGAAGCGAAAGAAAGCCCTCAAGGACAGTTCTTCAATCACTTCCAAGGCGTGCACTCTTCCTTCATGCACCAACCAAAATATCAACCCACCAACACGGACAGTGGGGACATAGGACCTACTCTGAAAGAACATAGGGAACTGAAGGATGAAGTCGACAGGCTCAAAGCCCTCATCACAAAGCTCTCCCTCGAAAAGGACCAAACCGCTATAAGCTTTGGTTCTTTAGGCTTCAATACCGTAGACGATGCTCGGGCCTTCGTAAGCGAACATCAAGAGGCTAGAAACTTTGGACTGATCATTGATCCCTATGCAGTGTGTTATCATGTAATGAAAGATAACAAGGGACATTCCAAGTTCTTTGACAGACTACATCACATTAAGAAGTTAGGGATAGGGACCAATCGTGAAGCCATTGTAATGCACGGATTCAACAGCCCAATACCAGAACTATTTGATGAATCCGGAGACCGACAAAGCTCCCCATACACATCCTCCTTCAGTAAGTTCCTTACCTACAAGGATTGGGAGGATAAAGGAAAAAAGCAGATACCAGCGGGCATTACATTGGTTAGATCCCAGCTAAACATCCACGCCGATAACTTCCTCCGACCGGGGAGCAAAGTACATACTATTTGCAAGTTATCTATATCGGAATCATGTGCTGCCATGGAGAAGTTCTGTACTTGGTTGGACAACTCACACAATAACTTAGTGACCTATGGAATGTCAAAAGACAAGGCCTGGATACTTACAACTAAGCTTGGCGAAAGAGTATTCAGGGAACTCTTTGTAGTAAGATCCGGAGTAGCCGATGGATTCAATGTCTGCGGGGAGGACACCTCTAAGATGGACATAGCCGCCAATATATGGTTCTATGTCCCAAAGACATTGGACATACTCAAAACCTTTGTGGATGCAGACTTCGGTGACCATGAATCGATCGCCAGCGAATACATTCGCTTCCTAGTACATAATACCAACTCGGCTGAGGTATCTACCTTTCAGACGGATGTGACAGAGCTCAAGGAGGCAATGAATGCTTCAAAACGACATTGGGAAAAGGAATTCAAAGCAGTTAAGTCAGTCTCTGATAGTGCAAACAAAGCAGCAACAACGTACAACAATAAACTTACGGATCAAGTGAAGAAAGTGAAGGAGTGGGCCTCCGGCCAGTTCTCTCCAAAATGACGGTTACGGGACAAGCAAGTAACCTTCGTAGAAAAACAGTTATTGCCTCTATCCCTAAATCTAGAACTCACTAAACCGATGGTAAAGATGAACCCTTCGAACTCCCCCCCAGAGGCTCTTACAATTGAGATGCAAGCCAACGTGGAACGCTTCGAGTTTGGATGCGTAGACGGAGGGCTCAGAACTCACACGATCACAGCAAGTGGAGTGGTTCGAGGATCCGGAGGGTTCACGTGGCTTCTTACCTTGCGACCGCAGCAATGGTATTCAATGATCATATTATGTCCGTTGCCGCATGAATTCGCAAGACAGATAAGAAACGTTTGGGGAAACCGATTGACTCAAGGCAAACCAGGGATGCAATCTTGTACAGTCGATATGGACTTCACCGCTGGTGGGGAACATGATCTAAAAAATTGGCGACAAGAAACTTACCAGTGCCCCAGCCTATTCGCGGTGCTCACCAAGATACGGCGACCCCCTCCACTTCAACCTGATGTTTCTACCACTATCATCACTCACAAGAGCGTGGGAGGAGTCACCACTGCACGTTCAAAGTTCTATATTGGGGGACATCCGTGTCCTCGACTTATGTCGACGGTACAAAGGACAGTGGGGACGATCATTAACCATAAGACATACATATCTTTATCCAATGTGCCTGATTCGTTTATCGAAGCAAACGAGTGGCTTCCGGTGGATCAACGAAACACAAACATCGCGATACCCACACGATTCAGTCGAACAGGGATTGGTTACAGGCGGCTCACGCCTACAGAACTTTGCTTGGCTTGGGACCTCCCATTATGGGCGATACCAACTCGCCCCTCTCACAATTTGACCGAGGGCTTTCAACCCCTAAAAGCGGGATTGGTTCTATCGGACGCAATTATCAACACTCTCCGTACAGGACAAGACACATGCGGGGAAAAACCACTTGGCCCAGTCAAATCACACAGGAACGACCCAAGGGGCCACTTCATCGCATCACTGGGAGTCTGGCTCTCGCCTAGGTGGATCGATGCTACGTTAATCACGGGCAAGGCCGTAAAAGTAGACACGGCTGCGGTCCCGGAGCACCTATGGGACCGGCGCATCGGCCTCGCACTAAATTGCCCCACCCATGCCTTACCTTACCTTCGACGACAGCTCCACCTCTCCGCTTGTCACAATGTACTTTGTTCCTTCTTTCTTTACATGCTCAAACACCATGAGCATCTTTGGTTAGATTGGTTAACTACTGTATGGAACAAACACGCTTTTCCCTGGTTCTTTGAAGCTCTCCGCAGAACTCTCGTACGTTTTGTACGGGTTGCTACACAACAACGGGGGGGGACAAAGGCCACGGTCACGTCTCACTCTAAAACCTCAAAATTTGGGATTGGGTCTGCTCGCGCGCTCTTAAATAACAACATGTGTTTCGCGGCACCAACAGTCCGCAACGCATCAATCCCAGATCAGCATATCAAACCATATCATCCAGACACGGATAATGATCATACAAATCACAACCATTCAGCCAAGTATAATGAACATACCAGCTCAACGCATCCCCAATGCGGGAGTAGTCACCAAAGCGCGATTACAACGCCGGACGAGCTCATTGCACTAACATTGAAATTGAACCCGCTACAGTGCGGCGGCAAACTTTCAGCACGTAGCATCACTACTGCGGGCTACGTGAAAGCGCAAGAATTCACACGCGACCTCATATTAGGCTACGAAGCTTGCCTTCAGTACAGTAAATCAACATGGTGGAAATGGGATAACGGATCCTCATTACTATTCTGGAGATGGCCAACACTAGAGACTAGACAGGCAGCACGAGATGGCTTCGCTCTCTTCGTCAAAAGCGACAGGCTCCCGTCCTACCGCGTAAAGCACAGAAGCGTCACCGATGAGATGGCAACTCAAATCAGCACAAAGGTCAGTGACGTGCTCCGAAAGACGTACATCGCTCCGATACACCGGAGCTTCAGCCACATCGATTTCTTTGGTGTACCCAAGGGCATAGGACCAAATGGCGAGATATTAGACATACGCATAGTTTACAACGGCACCAGCTGTGGTCTAAATGATGCAGTATGGGCCCCAAATTTTTGGTTACCAACCCCGAGCACCGCTATACGACAAATGTCATATGGATATTGGGTAATGGATCTAGACCTAGGGGAAATGTTCCTAAACTTCCCTGTACCTGAATCAATAAGGCCTTACCTGTGTGTGTCTTTAAAACAAATAGCTCACAAACTACCCAAAACACAACAAAGAACTGACGGTACGGGAGTTGCTTGGACGCGACTGCTAATGGGCTTCAAACCCAGTCCTTTCTTCGCAATAAAGTTTTACTACCACGCTGAAGAATTTGTCCTAGGGGATAGGCTCGCGAAAAACAACCCATTCCGATATGACAGAGTAATCCTCAACCTTCCCGGAGACGAGAAATTTGATCCGAGACTGCCGTGGGTTATGAAATGGGATGATACTCTAAATTGTATCCCAGCGGCTATAGTCACTTTCGTGGATGATGTTAGAGCTTCAGGACCCACCTCTGAAAGTGTATGGGCAGCCGCCCAACGCCTAGCTAAGTATCTCCAGTACCTGGGGATTCAACATGCTCCTAGAAAACTCAGACCTCCATCCAAAACCAAAACTGGAGCCTGGGCAGGAGGAATTACGGAAGCAAGTGATGATGCTATATTCAAATCCATTACTCAAGCCAAATGGGACAGGATACTACCAATTATTCAACGCATCGAAGATGAACTCACGAGCGCCCCAAACTCAGACTTAGACTACAAACAATTAGAAAAGGACAGAGGCTTCTTTGTGCACGTAGCCATGACATATAAAGTTATGAATGCACATCTAAAAGGCTTGCATCAAACTATAGACTCATGGAGGCCAAATCGAAACACGGAGGGCTGGAAGCTCAGTGCAAAGGAGTGGACTGAAAAACTAGCCTCCATATCCGACGACAACCTTAGGAATTCACTGATCGAGGCACACATAAGGGGGCATCCTACGAGAGTAAAACCCACTCCCCGCTTAACACCGGATCTCCAGGCTCTAAGAAGTTTCTTTACCAAACCAGAGCCCACGAAGGTCTCAATGAGGGCGAGGTCTGTATACCAGGTAAACTACGGCTTTGGAGACGCCTCAGGGCTGGGATTTGGAGACAACTGGTTAACTACCGAGGGAATCTCATATCATCACGGTACTTGGACCGCTGATGTATCCAACGAGTCGTCAAACTACAGGGAGTTTAGGAATGTACTCAATGCCATAAAGCGTGAAGGATTAGCTGGTCGGTTAACTGAAGCTTTCATTATATTTGCCACAGATAACTCAACTGTGGAAGCAGCACTGTATAAAGGAACTAGCAATAGCCCAAAACTGCTTGAAATGGTAATAGAGTTCAACACCTTACAAATGGAATACGGCTTCGAGGCCATAATCACCCACGTGTCTGGTTTCCGCATGATTGAACAAGGAGGAGACGGTCTATCCAGAGGGGCTTTAAATGAAGGAATCATGGGGGGAGCCTCCTATAGATCTTTCATCCCCTTTCATCTATCCAGTCTCACACGCGAACCAAAGCTAAAGGAATTGATCACCGACATAATGGCCCCCGGAGAGGAAGTCACTTATCTCAAGCCCATTGATTGGTTCCAACGAGGACACGACATCATTGGGGGCAGTATTGATGATGACAACTTTTGGAGACCCGATATAAAGGAAGGAATCTTTATATGGGATCCGCCACCAGCTGCATGTGCCGTAGCCCTGGAGGAATTGCGAAAGGCTCGACTTAAGCGGCACAAATCAACTCACCTTATTCTATGCCCTAGGCTCATGACACCTCTGTGGCTAAAGCAGCTGTTTAAGTGTTGTGATCTCGTAATCGATATACCCCCAATCTGTCCGTACTGGAACACTAACATGTTTGAACCCTGTATCATGGGAATGTGCTTTCCTTATTTACAATGTGACCCATGGGTACTTAGGGGAACGCCAAAGATGCTCCAGCTACGCAGGCACTTGTCTAAACTGTGGAAAACAAACCAAATGGGTGCAGTCTCTCTTCTGCATGAATTTTACATGGTCAGTAGGAGGCTTCCCAAGATGTCAAGGAAGTTGGTGCGGAAAGTGTTATTCTTTGACCAATGACACTCTTTTCTACAGGAACACTCCCCCGGAGGAAACCCATCCACAAGCCTCCACGAATCAAAAGTGGAAGCAGAGGAAGCCAGATCCAAATGCCTTTAACTATGCGAGACCCGGCGACCATATCCTTACCCCTTTTCAATGTGATTTATGTGCCTTCAGACGTGTAAAGGGTAGAGACCCAAACTCTAAGAGCTGCTCCGATGAACTGCTATTGAAGTATATACGACGAGCTAATCTAGATTCATTTTGGAGTAGGACATCCAGTACAGTTCAAGCCACCAGATCCTCGGTGGCAAGGACAATAGAATCGCTGAAGAAATTTGGCCTATTAGGCCCCTTTTACGATCCAGGTCCCTCTCCAGCTCACGACAGCTTTGGCTTTGAAACAGCTTTAGCCGTACTAGACGATTCACGTAAAGCTGGGAAGTATTCCAAGGACCACAAACAGTGGGAATCGATTCGTAGAGTAAAAACAGCTGTTGGAAACTTTGAAAGAGTAGCAACGGATCCACTGTTTCAGGGGGCCGCTCTTGTATCTGATAACAAAGGCCTCGCCAGTAGATTACACACTGGAGGAGCAACCTCCTATTGGCAAAACCGTTTCCTCGCTGGTTGCAAAGCACGGATGGGAGTGGATAAGAGACCAAATCTAGCAGTCAGTGTGGACGTATGGAAACTTATCGTAGACCAATGCGGACTCAACGCTCACGCCGCCATGGATAAGGACTTATATGAAGCCTGGATCATAGCGGGAGCCTATTTAGCTTTCGGCTATGTTCTCTCACTGCGAGGATCCGAGTGCTTTTTGATGGATATATTCCTACTCAACAAATATCGAGCAATGAAGCAGGACATGGTGTGGTTACCAATCTACGGAAGATTAAAGGGAGGCTCGTCCGTTCATACTTATCTATTAAGATCGATCAAAGTAACAGGATCAGGGATCAATATCAAACACTGGAGGGACCAGTTACTAGTTGTTCATTCCAGAGCAAATCGATCTGTTGGCCCAGCATTCTGCGATGCAAAGGGGTTCATCCTATCTCATGCGGCCATGAATGAGTATCTTTGGGAAGCCACGGAAACTGTATTTGAAAGCTTCCCAGAACTGTTCCCAGCGGCGATATCATCCCCTGAACACATTAGGACCTATATCCAAATCTATCGAACTATGCGGAGAACAGCAACTTCACAAGCCACTAGAGCTCGTGTCAGTGGAGACGATATAGATATTGCCAACAGATGGTCAAGGAAGGAGTCCGCACGAGGACAAGATCCCAATGAGCATCTTAGACACCACTATGCTCAACAAGACTTACTAAACGACTGCTTAAAGCGCTTTCAGAGGAAGCTCTAAGCTTACATATCAGTAACAGCCCCCGCAGTCGAAGCTAATACGAGGTTAACTCGTAAAAGAAGACAACAGAAGAAACCGCTTGGTACTTGACGTACTCCAGGGGGGGGATTAGTGCTTAATCGGATGAGTCAATGCTAGAGACATTCCATCCGATCTATGCCCTAAACTGAGCCAGTTCTTTTGCAGTATGCACTCGAGAATCCCAACAAGCTAATGTGTGAGTTAATCTCCACATTCAGGCTCTTGGGGCATGCTTAAAGAAGAACTAATTCAGCTTTTTGGTTAAGCCATAGGTCTGGCAACGAAGCCCAGGCCTATGTCCCTGGGGAGGGGATAAACCCCCCCTGATGCAGCCTTTGGGGAACTTACCCAAACTCAAAGACTGTTTGCTTGAGCTAAAAACAACAGGCTCAAGCTGTAAACTAATGTACTAGAAACTATGTATATTTCTTGACTATCTTGAATGAATGGAAACGAGCCTCCACGTGTCAAACGCACAAAACAAGAAATCCNGTAAACTAATGTACTAGAAACTATGTATATTTCTTGACTATCTTGAATGAATGGAAACGAGCCTCCACGTGTCAAACGCACAAAACAAGAAATCCTCCACGTGTAACGCTACTCATCTGGATTCCTGCGACATGAAGGACAGACCAAGAAGGAACGAGCACCATCAAATAAAGGGAGTCTGTTTACAGCAAACAGTACTCCTATCAAGGCTATTACAAGAAGGAAGACTATGAAGATGTCAGTAACTGGTAAAAGGAATGGAGCAGCAAAGCGCCCCAAACCAAAGATACTCACATCCTCATTGTTTTGTAGACTGCAGCATTGGTATCAGTAGCTAAGAGACCAATCTGGAGGCACTACAGTACATCACTACGCCTTTTTTCTACCCACCCTCCACCCGGGGATTAGTGCTTAATCGGATGAGTCAATGCTAGAGACATTCCATCCGATCTATGCCCTAAACTGAGCCAGTTCTTTTGCAGTATGCACTCGAGAATCCCAACAAGCTAATGTGTGAGTTAATCTCCACATTCAGGCTCTTGGGGCATGCTTAAAGAAGAACTAATTCAGCTTTTTGGTTAAGCCATAGGTCTGGCAACGAAGCCCAGGCCTATGTCCCTGGGGAGGGGATAAACCCCCCCTGATGCAGCCTTTGGGGAACTTACCCAAACTCAAAGACTGTTTGCTTGAGCTAAAAACAACAGGCTCAAGCTGTAAACTAATGTACTAGAAACTATGTATATTTCTTGACTATCTTGAATGAATGGAAACGAGCCTCCACGTGTCAAACGCACAAAACAAGAAATCC